CAAACAGGTTAGCCAAGGATGCAAACGATATTTGATGAAGTCAGGATTCAAATCTAGACCTGGCTGAATCCCAAGGGACTGTGAGTAGACAAAATTGGAAAATTTGACATAGAAGAGAGGGGAGTTGAAGGGTTTAACAAGATGTTTAGGGCTGCAGAATCTGGGCATCAAAGCTGGGTTTGAGGACTTGCAGAAGGATAAATTCTGTAATCGCCACTGTGGTACATTCAAAAGGACTTTAGACAGAGATTGCTTAGCAGCCCAAAAGCATGAGTGAGCCAAGACTTTGTAACGCAGGCATCAAGTGTAAGGCAGGCACTGAGTGTAAGGCAGCCAAGAGTGTAATGCAGGCACTGAGTGTAAGGGAGGCACTGAGTGTAAGGCAGGCATCGAGTGTAAGGCAGGCACTGAGTGTAAGGCAGGCATCGAGTGTAAGGGAGGCACTGAGAGTAAGGCAGGCATCGAGCGTAAGGCAGGCACTGAGTGTAACGCAGGCATCAAGTGCAGTCGTGGAACTTGATCCAGTCTCTTCAGTTCCAATAGAACATCAATAATCAACAAAGGCCATAATTCTAAAATTTACTGTAGCTGGCCTATTAAAAATATATGCTGAAGATAGCAGTTAGGCTATTTGTCTATGAATTCTCTAACACTAAACTTTAGAAAAAATCCTGAATAAAGAGAGAATATGATCAATTATTTTATTTAAAACATGGGACCTATTTAAGGCTATTAAATGAGATCAAATAAGTCATTAAATCTGACATTTGCCTTCTGCCCCGTCAATGAGTAAATACCTGCTGAGTGCCTCCTGTGGACCTGACGACTAGGGAGGGAAGCCCATGACCCAGGGTCAACTTCTACACTTAGAAAGAAAAATTACATTGGCAAAGCAGACCATGCTGTCATTTAGACCCAGTCAGCACACACTAATATATACTAAATTCAATGGAACAATCTACTAGAGAAGAAAAAGTATATAAAGTACCAAATGAACAATGTTAAGAGCAATGCTAAGACTGAGAGAAATAAAAGGCCAAGAAGAGTGAATGTTCAGTGGCCTAAACACAACGGCTGACTTGTGAATAACTGGTTCTCTACATTAGTCAGTCAATCATTGGGGGTACTCTCAGGGCTTCACCACCTACCCTCTGTACCTTCATTCCAAACCTTTAACAATTTGAAAAAGATCAGGGTCATTGTCAGCCAGACACTAGAGGGCAACAGAATCAACTTCTCTCTATCTCTCTGTCTCTTGCTCTCTCTCTCTCTCTCTCTCTCTCTCTCACACACACACACACACACACACACACACACACACACGAGCCCACTGTCCACAGGGTCAAACAGCAGTGTCGGGGTAAATGAGTGACAGCAAGATGTCACAGGAATCCCATCGCATACATGGGCAATAGAAAGATTCCCAGGCGGAGTCCTCTGAAAACCAGCTAGATAAAGTGCATGGAGGGCTGATTTTCTACTTCTTAAATTTAATTATTTAAGAAGATTATTATGATTAAGATCTTATTAACTTATAAACCAAACTACACGAATGGACACTGTGGTGGAAGGAAAAGGATCCTATCTGGATATTGTTCCCCAGACAGGTAAATACCTGCGGGTGCCCTGATTCCACAGCTGGCCAACAGAGGAGTACATTTTTCCCTGTTTACTTTCACACTGATGATAACTGAAGGAGATGGATGGAGTAATATTCTCAAAAGAATTCAAGAAAATATCACTTATTTTGCTTAAAACACTTTCTAATTTTTGTTGTACTCTTTATCTTAAATCACAAAGTGCCTCTCAATCTGTGGCCAAGTTCCAGTTTGTTTTCAATTTTTCAGGTATTTCTGATTGAAAACATAAGTTTCTAGATAACTGAAGTAATCAACAATATTGCTATTCATTGTTTGACATAGTCTGGAAATTCCTCAAGAATTAAGTTAAGCAAATTGTGGTTCACACTCAGTTGTGGATTTCAAAACCAACCTTTTTGCCCTTTGTCCAGCCACCTTTCATATTAATTCTCCCAGGAGACATTGTCAGAAACTGAAAATTGAGTAGTTTACTTGAAAGACTTTATGGATTATGGAAATATATGGTATTATTATCTATAGCGGTACTGAAATCATGAAAGAAGTGTAGGTGTTAATTGGATAGCTTTATCAAAACAGGAAAGCCACTCATTCATAATGAAGAGGCTTTACTCATACAGATTATTAACCTCTCAAAGAAAAAACATCATGAAGAAACATAAGGATTGTGATTTGACATTCCTTCCTCCTCCTCACATAAATTACACTGAGATACGGGTGCCACTTGTTGCTTATGAATGCCTGCTCAAGATTTTCTTTTTTTCTGTGTTTTAAAAAATCATTATTGGCTTTTTCCTTTTACCCACTTTATTCAGTGATGATCGAATTCACTGTGTTGTGATACCCTGTGAGATCCTAAAATGAATGATATTTCACTGATGGGGGATTAGCAAGAATTGAACAAATCAGTAAATCAGTTGGGGGCAAAATATTATTTGAATTTAAAAATATATGTTTCTTCAGTACAGAATGTGGTCCATTGATGGCTTGTAAGCCTTAAACTTAAAAAGAATGTCTGCTCCTTTCAACAATTCTAAAACCATAGTTCATGGAAAAGTCGAACACACACGTGACAATCTTAGATTCACCAGCACATGATTATAATGCTAAAACTATGTATATCTTGTTAAAGAGAAAGTATTGAAGCGGAACGAGGAGACGGCACGTTTTCTCTCTCAGGTTAGACAGACTCGTAAAGGCATAGCTACCCTAATGTAGAAGGCATCATGTCAGCCTGTGACTATGTGGCATACTTTCTCTAAGGAAGTATGGATTTACTTTAAATAAATTGATAATTAAAAGAATAACTAGGAGAATAAATCAACAGGGAACACACTTTCCCATGGTTTCACAACCTAATACATATGTTCCTATTTCCTCAACTACATATTTGCAAAAAGGCCTTTGGTAGCCGGCAGAATTATTGTATGTAAAATTATCAGCAGCCATGGAATGATCTCAGAGAGCTGTTGTCCCTTGCGACAGCTATAGTCACTTCCTTACTGACAGTAGAACATTCACAAAATCATTCGTCTATCCTGTCTATAATGGCAGTGGCTACCTACTGCAGTACTACAGACATTCTGACAAAAAGTAACAGCTCGCAAAGAGAAGAAATATACAAAATAATCTAACAAATTTCTTAGAACAATTAAGTATAACTCTGCAAAATTAGCATGCAGCCAGTATAAAAGAGTGAAGTCACCTAAAGACAGTGACAGCAATCAACTTGTATCAGTGCTATTATTGCAGGAGCAAAGGTATAAGTTTCCAGAGGATGTGAGAGAAAGAAAGAAAGGTATTTTTCACATCCATCAAATCCTACCCTCGTGCTTAACTTTCATATCCACTGTCCGCAGTATGCAGCACTGTGTTTTTATGGAGCACGTACAGTTTGCATGGGGCTACCTCTGTCAAAAGCTGAGTCCTCACTGGAGAACCAGAAGTGGAAGCATCACTCTTTGAAAATCAGGGTTTATCTTAGAAAGTAAGACTTCTGCTGAAGACTTCTAGGGGAAATTTTCACTTAAGTCCACCAGTAGTTAAAACTCGAGAACAGGTTTGTAGCGAATTGAGGCAGGCACCAGGAGGTACTGAATGATAGCATTACGGGCAAGTATGTAAGGGTGAACTGAGTCACTGACTTACCTGAGACAGATGCCAGGGTGCCCTGGTCCAAACTACATACAGTGGATAATTACTAAAATGAAGGTACTTGCCTGATATGTGAAAATCATTATCTAAAAATCTTTCCGGGAATAAAAAGAATGCTCATTCTGGCAGGACAAAGAATAAAAACTAATAGTTTATTAATTTTATTATAAACTCCATGCTCTGTAATTATTTTTAAATACAGGCCAAAGATATCCTATTGCAATTCCAGATAGTGGGTGATATCCATGCTCTTCTAATAACCATTGTGCTATTTCATAAAAGTGGGGGAAAAGTTACATTGGTTGTCATTTTCCTTTCTGGAAATCCCACAAATACCGATGAATTTTAGACATCCATTATCACATTGACTTAATCTAGTAATCAGATAAATGCTAAAATGACCAGAAGCTATTTTATAATATTTCAATGTTCTGTATTAACTATTCATCGGCAATAAAATTATTTACCTTCTGAGAACCCAAAGACAAATTTTGACATATTCACCAAGACAATCATTGTCTTATTATATTTTTCTAAGAGCCATCAGAAGTATAATTCACTTTCTCAAGCAAAATGTGCATACCTTTGCTACAAATGGAAAATAATGGCTTTTCCAAAGTTGATTATGGAAACACAAAGTGTGTTTCATGTACTAAGGTAGCACCCTTCCTTCAAAGTCTCCCCTTGGTTGCATTCTTACAGAATGAATATCCTTCAAAGAGTGTTCGGAAATTTGGGGCTTCAGCCTACGTAATATGGAACTGGGACTTAAGAGACAGACAGTGAATCACATGCGGGAAGTAAATGTAAGCAACAAGAATTAAGTTTCTATTGAGTAGACTTTTTTGAATGATTGTCAAAATGTGTCCCTTTAATCTAATGATTATGCATCTCATTTCATCTGCCTAATATTGTCTTATTTAGACTCTTGAACAAAAGAGGAAAGGTAACAGGTTTTCATTTCTTTCTTGCCGTCTCCTCCCCAATATCGAACAGGCTGCATAGAAGCCAGGAGGACCAGGCACGCTTTCAAAGGGCTGTGTAGGGTGGGAGCGTGGAGTCAGAGCTGGGGGATAACAAGTTGACTAATCTTGCCAAACGCTTTTTAAGACAATGAATGACTCATGACAAAGAGACACTACCAACCAGCTGTGCAGTAGCATCATTTTCAAAAGAGTAATGTGGGTGTGAACACATATTTATTTTATAAAAAGAGATTTAGAGATAAAACGGGGAAAAAAAACTTACTGAGAAATCTTCAAAGATTTTCTTGAGTTCTTTGTGACCATGCCTTTCAGCGATATGTGCTGGATCTGAACTCTCCAAATTTTTCATCTTAGATGCCCAGGTTGCTCCTGAACATTGAAGCAAATGAACAGCCAAGTTCTTTAAGCCAAATTTTGCTGCACAGTGGAGAAGAGTTGGAAGTTCTTTGAAATGAGTATCTGTAAGCATAATAAGTAACAGAATTTAGTATGTTTTTATCCTATCTATAATTTCATAAGAAAGAGTCTAACACAATCTCCTCCTAAAAGTAATTCCCACAAAGCAGAGCAAACAGTGAGATTTTGCATAGAAGAAACCATCGGTGGTTTTAGCAATGTGGAATCTCCCCTTCCTATTTCTCATCTTAACATAAATGTAAACTAATAGTGTCATTAGCATTAATGTCTTACTCTTACTTGTGGGGTAAGTTTAATTTAGAAAGGCACATCAGCTTCTTAAAGGCAAACACAACAGAACAAAAACATTATATTGTAATAACTCCTTTAGAATGTACTCCTACATTAGCAAACACTACATAACAAAATCAAGTCAGTTTGTCTATAAAACCTCTTCGTGTTTTCTACTGCCATGCCTAGCTTGCTTCTTTCTGAAGTTAAAATGAACATGAAAGTTGTGGAGGGGTTATATTAGATTTCTCTGTGGAATTTTTCTTTCAAAAAGTAACTACAAGAGAAAGTACAGGTGAACACTTTCATAAACATCTTCAGTATGGAAATTTCCATCAGGATTTTACAGCTTTCAAATCAATGCTTTGGAAAGTGAATTTCACAATTGCTTGCTACCTATCAATTAGAACGCATATATTAATTATGCATACCTATAAAATGCTGAATGTAAACTGCTATACCAATGACAAAGCACCCCCCACCCTGCCCCGATGAGTGATGGTTTGCTATAATTCTACACTTTGACACCTCGCTGGAAAAAATGTGTGAGGGAAATTACACATCAGCTTACTAAGCTGTGGTATTATCAGAGGAAGCCACATGAAGACTTGGAGCGAGAGAAACTGAGGTGTCAAAGCAAGACTCAGTTCTCTCCCGGCGAAGCTTAAAGCAGTGAACACAGCCTCAACAAAATGTTTTGGAAAACTTTGAATCTGGCCTGATTTATCTCTTTGCTATTTTTGTAGACCAAAAAAAGAAAAGAAAAAGGAAAAGAGAGGGGAATTAAACCTTAAGTTTTCAATTCACTTGTGTGGGTCAGGGCCGAATAAATTATTTTGTTGGTTTATATGTTCTAACAGAAAACAAACAAAAACCTTCAGGACATGTTAAAAACTCACTGTAAGGAAATATTTTACCCTTCAAATGTGTTAGCACTAAATGGTTGTTAGGTAACCCTACAGTCACAGTTCAATGACGAATGCACGGGTCCCTTATACGGTGTGCAGTGAGCCAAAAATCATCAAATATTTGATGAAGATCGATGAAGATGAGCTTATGAAAGCTGAAACTGTTTAAGGTAGGTACCAATTTTCAAAATAAAAATAATGTATTTCCTTAAAAAGGTATTAAGATATGGGGCTGGCCCCATGGCCGAGTGGTTAAGTTCGTGCGCTCTGCTGCAGGCGGCCCAGTGTTTCGTTGGTTCGAATCCTGGGCGCGGACATGGCACTGCTCATCAAACCACGCTGAGGTGTCCCACATGCCACAACTAGAAGGACCCACAACTAAGAATATACAAGTATGTACTGGGGGGCTTTGGGGAGAAAAAGGAAAAAAATAAAATTTTTTTAAAAAAAGGTATTAAGATATAATTTTCTATTTATTTACATTAAAATGTATTATAAAATGTAATTTTCTGCTGTAATTAAACCAGGCCTGAGTTAACAAAGAAAAATATTCACAAGATAACGCCAGATTTTTACATGCCCTAGATCATCTCTCTCTTTGTCACACCATGCAATACACAAAAAACATCATCACCTGCCAGTCAATGCTTTATGCGCTGTTCCTGCTCGTTGCTATTCTGGTGAATTTTTAAAGCTGTCAATGCAGCTTAAAATGTTATTATCATTAAGTAAGTGTTTAATCTTATAGGAATACAGTCATATTTTAACCTCAATGACCTCCTCAGTCAGTAAATTCCTCAGGTTTAAGGTAATATAATATTAGAAACAATGACCACAAACTTCATTAAGAATCTCTCTATTTTTGTACACCAGAAAGAGTAGCAAGTGGTCATGGTTTTTCAGGGTACATGTCTTAACAGTCTTCCTACTGTGAACCATGTTTTCTGACACACAAAAGGAAGAAGCTTGGCTGATATAAGATTACCCTGCTGATACTAAGGTGGACCACAGGTTTGAAGGTTAGCTTCCTTATTTTCCATTTCTTTACGTCATTTGTAACGGTAGCTTAAAATCCTTTAGTCTACTAGAATGCTTTGAGAAGTTATAGACATGAAAGAACTTTGGAGGACATCGTTCCAGTTTCCTATACAGTAACAGAATTGCATTCCTCGAGTCATGAGAGATGACCTACACACTGCTTGCACACCGTTAATGACAGTGTTCTTCACTTCCTAAGGCAGCCTGTTTCTTGGTTAGACAACACTGATTATTACACAATTATTACTTCTGTTGAGCTGAAATGCATTTCCTCTAAATTCCCACATCTTCATATCCTTTGGGCAATACAGAATATGATAGTTACAAAAGCAGGGGCTTAGAGTCAGTTGGCTCTGCCATACGCTCACTATGTGAACCTCAGCAAGCTACTATCTGAGCCCAGGTTCCTCATACAAATTTGTAGGGCTATCGAGATCATTAAATGACTTAACTTATAAAAAGTGCTCAGCAAGGTGTCTGACACAGAACAGGCATTCAGTAAATATTAGTTGGTTTCCCTTTCTCTCTTTTGCATCAAACAGTTCAAAGCATCCTTGTCCTAATTCATCTTTGCCCCAACCTTAGGATCCCTAATTCTTTTCATTGTTCCAATGTACTTACCATCCTGAGAGCTTGACCCAGAATATTTGGTCCTTTATAAAACGATGACTCAGTTTCAAACCTGCCCAGATGATCATTACAGCAATCCCTTTCACTGTCTTCAATGGGATTACTTTGCCTGCTTATTTTAACTAAGTTGGAAATGCTCAGCCTGCTAACGTACATGGTCAATAACCAGAAAATTTCTAATTTAAGTTTTTTTTAATTAACATATGACAGAGTTAACCTTTCAAAGAATTTGAAATGATTCACTGGAACTATATTAGTTATTTTAATGTTACGTAAATCATGATCTCTGGTATTATTTTTTCAGGATATCAAATTAAATATACTATGTGCATATAATATTATATTAACATGTCTGTAGGATATTTATATATGAAGAAAGGTATTCATGTCTATAAAAGATGATTATGATAAGAATTAGTTTAGGTTTTTAAGAATTATATTTTTAATAAAATCATACTTTTTTATTGTGGTAACATTGGTTTATAACATTATATAAATTTCAGGTGTACATCATTATATTTTGATTTCTGTGTAGATTACATTATGTTCACCACCCAAAGACTAATTACCATCCATCACCACACACATGTGCCTAATCACGCCTCTCACCTTCTTCCCTCCCCCTTTCCCCTCTGGTAACCACCAATCCAATCTCTGTCTCTATGTGTTTGTCTGCTGTTGTTTTTATCTTCTACTTATGAGTGAGATCATATGGTATTTGACTTTCACCCTCTGACTTATTTTGCTTAGCATAATACTCTCAAGGTCCATCCATGTTGTCACAAATGGTCAGATTTCATCATTTCTTATGGCTGAGTAGTATTCTGTTGTGCATATATACCACATCTTCTTTATCCATTTGCCCTTTGATGGGCACCTAGGTTGCTTCCAAGTCTTGGCTATTGTGGATAATGCTGCAATGAACATAGGAGTGCATATATCTTCACCCATTTGTGTTTTCATGTTCTTTGGATAAATACCCAGCAGTGGAATCGCTGGATCCTATGGTGATTCTATTCTTAATTTTTTGAGCAATCTCCATATTGTTTTCCATAGTGGCTGCACCAGTTTGCACTCTCACCACCGGTGTATGAGAGCTCCCTTTTCTCTACATCCTCTCCAACACTTGTTATTTACTGTCATGTTAACTATAGCCATTCTGACAGGAGTGAAGCGATCTCTCATTGTAGTTTTGATTTGCGTTTCCCCGATAGTTAGTGATGTCGAACATCTTTTCATGTGCCTGTTGGCCATCTGTAAATCTTCTTTGCAGAAATGTCTGTTTAGATCTGTTGCCCATTTTTAATCGGGTTGTTAGTTTTTTTGTTGTTGAGAAGTTTGAATTCTTTATATATTTTGGATAGTAACCCTTTATCAGATATATGGTTTGCAAATATCTTCTCCAAATTGTTAGGTTGTCTTTTTGTTTTGTTGATGGTTTCCTTTGCTGTGTAGAAGCTTTTTAGTTTGATGTAGTCCCAGTTGTTTACTTTTTCTATTGTTTGCCTTGCCCAGTCAGACATGGTATTTGAAAATATGCTGCTAAGACCCATGTCAAAGAGTGTACTGCCTAGGTTTTCTTCAAGAAATTTCATAGTTTCAGGCCTCACATTCAAGTCTTTAATCCGTTTTGAGTTAAATTTTGTATATGGTGTAAGATAATGGTCTCTTTTCATTCTTTTGCATGTGGCTGTCCTGTTTTCCCAACACCATGTATTGAAGAGATATTCCTTTCTCCTTTGTATCTTCTTGGCTCCCTTGTCGAAAATTAGCTGTCCATAGATGTGTGGGTTTATTTCTGGGCTCTTGATTCTCTTCCATTGATCTGTGTGTCTGTTTCTGTGCCAGTACCATGCTGTTTTGGTTACTATGGGTTTGCAGTATATTTTGAAATCAGGGAGTGTGATACCTCTAGCTTCATTCTTTTTTCTCAGGATTCCTTTGGATATTCACAGTCTTTTGCTGTTCCATATAAATTTTAGGATTCTTTGTTCTATTTCTGTGAAAAATGTTGTTGGAACTTGGCTAGGGACTGAATTGAATCTGTAGATTGCTTTAGGGAGTGTGGACATTTTAACAACGTTAATTCTTCCAATCCAAGAGCATGGAATATCTTTCCATTTCTTTGTGTCTTCTTCAACTTCTTTCAACAATGTTTTATAGTTTTCGGTGTATAGATCTGTCACTTCTTCGGTT